GGTGTGCCTTATGGTCCAAAACAGACGGTAAGATCATGAATTATGTGTATTATTGTCAACCAAGTCCAGACACCCATAGAAATTAAAACCCATTTTAACCATGAATCATCAGAATCTGCAAGAGTTTCACATCCATTATTTGGTCCAGCTTTTACACAACCAGATAATTTCAAGATCATTCATAGTTTCAGCAAAGACTGATTGTAGTGTCATCTTTACAAACAAATATGTCATCCGTGTGCTACAGGTTTACTATGATAAAACGATGTGGAGTGAATGGAAAAGGCAGAACCACAGCTGGAAGTAACTAACACTTTCTTTTCTAAATGACAGGTTTTGATTAGTGATTGGAAATACCATGGATCATTTGATCAAAACTTTTTAGTGATCAATTATGATGAACCACATGCAATGGGTCAAATTAAAACAGTGCTGACACAAACACAAAGGTGCTATGAGTGGGCTTACAAACATCCGGATAAAAAGAGACACAAAACCTTAGACAAGTTACACATATGACATGATGGAGGAGGAGGAGGAAGAGGAGAGTTAGTCAGGCTCTTACCAGCTCCTTGGGTTTCCAAAGAGTTAGAGAAAATAACGGAAGAGCAGAGGGAGAGAAAAAAAAATAGGGGGGAGAGAGAGAGAGACAACACAGATTAATGTGGTTATCACATGCCATGCACACAACAGGAACAGTTGGCCAAGGTCGGGGAAAGATAAGAAAGAAAGCAGTGTTCTGAGAGTAGCTGCCAAACACCCTGGAGACACTTTGCTCAGACAGTTTATGATGGTCTCCGAGTTCTTTCCGTCTTTCCCAATTCACCGTGATAATGTGGTCCTTTAATACCACCAAGTTTCTCTCCCTCATGATACCTTTTATAGTAATGAAGAGCCTGGTGTTTCAAAACATTAATTATGATTCAGAATGGAGGGTGAGGATGTCTAAAACAAGTCAAACCCCCAAATGCATGTATCCTCAGCTCATTAAACTGGAGTAAGTTCTTAGTTAGGCACATGCAGTTTATCCTAAATGAATCTGCTAACCTAAAACAAAGCACATGGTGAACTATATCAAAGTTAGAGCCCCAGTACAGTGTGTGATTTACAATGTTTTAGTTCAACTAAAGTCTGCAAATCAATTCATCAGAAAAAAAAAATATAGCATCAAATTGGAGATTACCTAATTCGACAGATTTTTCTTGGAAGCTGGCTATGGCACTACACAATTAGTATGTAGTTTGCCAAAAGGGAAGAATTTTATAATGACAGCAGCAAAGAAGCAGTCATCTCAACGTTTATCTGTGTTACATGCCACATACATTCCATTAGTCAGTATTAGTACAGATGCTAATTTGCTGCACTCCTAGGTGAAATTATGTATAAACCAGTGGCCAACACAACCACATTGTTTTTGCCTAAGGTAACCAAAAAGGATGGTGACAGAACAAAAACAAGCTTATGGAGCTATGGCTAAGAAACCACTTTTGTGGAGCACACAATGCTAGAGCCATTTCCAAAGCTTCATTTTTGTCTGGCTACATTACTACAACATGAGAACAACATAGGTGGAACGCGCACTTGACATATTTCTGCTTATTTTATGTAAAGCACAACAAACTATTCTCAATAGGCATTCACGAGTCTCATTATTGATCATTTAAAAGGTCTACTGCAGACTGTGAGTGACTTTCTTTTATATCCATTTTGCTCAATGAACCTGTAAGAAGTTATCACGCATTGTAAAGAGGCCGTTAAAATGTCCAGTTAGTCAGAACAGTGGAGTTAGCCAAGAAGCAATTATTAGAACATGACAGCAGGTTAAAAAGAGAAATCCCTAGAACAAATAAACACATTTATTCTGCCGAAAGCTTCACGCTCACACAGGCACACAATTGAACCCTCACTGCTTTGTCAAAGCATGAAAGAGTAAATCAGTTCTGCTGAATAACCACCAACACCATTATCCCTTAGAAATTTTTAAAAGAGCAGCAAGAATAGGAGGAAAAGAATCAATTCCTTCCACTTCACAACAATCAAAAAGGGTTGAATTACACTGCACAGAGAGTCGCTGATCTATTTCTCATATCATTCCAATCATTAGAGGCAGAAATAGTGACTATGGGAATTAAAAAAAAACAAAAACATGCATTAAAAAAAAGCATTAAGCTCACTGAGAGAAAAATTGAGCCAGTCTTACTTGTACAAACTAGGGTCCCAGGAGGGTGGGGGAAGAGTCAAAACAAGGGCAAGGGAATAGGAAGAGCAAACATGAAAACATGGAAGGAAAATGCCAATTAGCATTCTCTCAGCTGGTCTGAAAAAATAGCCCAGACATGGTTAAAACCAAAGTCAGACCAGCTCACCAAGAGCTGTCCTGATAAACAAGCCTGAACTCTTGCAGTCACAAGAGTTCGATCACTATTGATGACAGCAAAAGAGATTTCTAAGACAACGGCAGTGCCTGAATGTTTAGTTTGCTGATATGCTTGAAGTGTCTGAATCCAATTTTAAAATGCTTCTACTGACATTTTTGTTTTTATTATGCACTTGTGCCTTATTTCTGTCAACATATTAAAATAATTTAAAAAAGAAACATACATAACAGGGAAAATGTGTGGGAGTCAGTTGTTATGTATTGTATAAAATATGAACAAAGTTCACTACTTCAACTATATTTTAAACAAGAGCATCAACAACGGGGTATTTGTACACGTCTTACAAATAGTATTTCACTCGCCCTGCAGAGTTGGTAAGGACAGGAAAGGCACAGGGACAGATTATTTACATGCATAGTACCGCTGACATATCCGCCCTTTGCCATGTAATTTATACAGTAAAAGTGAGAAGCTGTTATTCCGCACTGTCAATCATAAACCTACGTGTAAACACTTATTAGCTAGTTAGCTGAATGTGGAGAAAATTAAAGAACAGGGAACTTGGGGGGGAAAAGGCGCCCACTTACCGACTCAAACTGAGCCTGGTCATCCTCAGGAAGGTCACCGGTTTCATACACGTCCGGCTCGTTAAACGCCTGTGCAAACAATTAGATAAACAAAATAAGAAACAGTTAGATATCCCGGTTATTACAGCTTGCCTGGCCAACGCCCCGGCCCATTCAACAACAACTATCTCCTAACCCTTGCTTCTGGTGTTCCGTAGCACAACTCGGGGAATTAGCTGAAAAATAAAGCAACTACGGGATTAAAGCTGTAAACGCCAGCTGCGCGGTGAATGAAAACAAAAAGCAGACAACGAAATAAACGGCAGAGATGTTAGCTAACTTAGCTGTCAAAGCCTGGAGATAGCACTGCCAGTTAGCAGTATCTGTCTGCTAGCGTTAGCCACTTACAATTCCTGGCAAATTTGCGTATTTGGGATCAGCCATGGTCACCGGGAGGGAAAAAAGAAGACCAACGAATCACAACAGAATGTAATGAAACGTGCAAATTATCGCTGGATAGAGTCTGACTATGACAAAAGCTAACGATGGATGAGCCAGCAGTCTCCCAGCCGGCGGAGCTTTCCAAGCCGATGTGGTCACTAGCTTGATGTGACGGCGTGTGCCCTTGATTTGTGTACAGGCACCGGCAGGTGGACTGCCGTGCGACTGCTGCATCAATTGAAAAGAGTTCGCCGGCTTACCGAAGACAATAAAACAATCATACCCGAAAACGAACACCGCTTTCACGCATGCGCGCCTTTTATCCAATAAGACTCAATAAGGCTTTGGTCTTTTTATTTTATTTTCCTATTAAACGCGATATTAGTTGTCGCATGTATTATCTTCAATTCTTCAATAACATTTTTTTATTAGTTTTAAATAAAACATGTAACTGTGTTGTAACATAATGCCGTCACATGATGGCGCCAAAGAGTTGTTTTTTGGTATTTGTTTTTAAGAACAACTTGATCAATGGGTTCAAAGATCCTCGATCAACACGCCTCGATTAATAGGATGATTCACGATCAGGAAAAGAACAAAGTTGTCGTGTTTTTCCCCTACATGTTATTAAATTATAAACACACATCTTATATTATGTCGTTGCAGCTTCTCCCTAAAAGCTGTAATACTGCTGTGGTCGATCTGTCAACAACTTATGAATAACCCTGATGTGCAATATTCTTCTGCTCAAATCGACATGTTTGAAAATAATATTTATAATTTACGTCATATACTTATGTACATTTCACAATATGTAACTAACTCATTTACAGTGCATATGCAGTGGATGCTCCTTTACAAGTGCAGTCGGTATAGCCGACTTTAAGAAATTAATGCACACAGAAAGATGCTCACTCATCATGAGGGGTAATTGGCTTGCTAAGACAGCTGTATACATTCCCGCTTAGCTCTTGAATATCTTATAGAAATCTTTAAAAAAAAAAACCCTCTGATGATGATGTCTGGGTTGTTTCGATTTTCATGAATTTTAATAAGCATACCAAAAAAGTCTGTTGCAAGCCTGAAGGCACGGAGTTTGAAAGACATGTCCATTTACCAATCGGGGTCTGATACAAGACACGTGCACTGCGGGAACTCCCCCCAAAATAACATCTCACCCGTTTACTGATATATGCGAATCTGATCATTCTGACTTTTTGTTTTGTGTCAAAGGCTTCTCATTAACTTCACAGTGCACTGCTTAAGACTGGAAAGCCTCTGGGGGGAAATTACGAACCCTCTAGTTCCCACATGACTACCCTCTCATGCAAAACAGCATTGCCATGACGACCAGACTGGTGCAGCCCTAGACCCGCTCCTTACAAACTACTGTTTTCAGAAATGCCTCCGTAAATGCCAGAAATACTTCGTGCTTTTGCAACAGCTGCTGCATCTGAAACATTGAAGAAGTTTCCACGGAGGCTAATTCATGTATATATGACAGAGTTGGAGCGCTCCTCCCTGCTCCTCGGTCCCTCTGCCCGCGGTGCTGATGAGAGAGGATTTGAGTCGCTACCACGCCCCGCCCACAGTGAGAGAGCAGGACTGACAGTGATGCAAGGCATGCCTCTGAGAAGCCTGCAGCCTATCCAGACCGACCGGACCAGTTTGGACTCTACTTCCCATTTACAACTCTCCATATGTTCTCCGCCGCCGAGATGCAGCTCAGCTTTGATTTGAGGGCAATTTAGTAAACACCCAGGAGCTGCTTCTGTTTTGCTTTTATTTTACATTTCTTTTAATATTTTGCAACCCCAAACTCCAAATGCTTCGCCTGCCAGTCTCGCTTTGCATGTGGCTATATCCGGTGGTTCCAGTTTGCGTGCAGGTGCTTTAGGAGAAAAGGTTGCACAGGGGCTTTTTTTTTTTTTTTTAAATCAGGCTATTATTTTTGTTTTTAAACTCCTCTTTATCTCTTTGGAAGCTAAACCACAAATTTTATTTTCACAATGGCCGATGCGAACGGTGAATGCAATATCAAGGTGTTATGTCGATTTCGTCCACTGAACCAGTCCGAAATTATCCGCGGAGATAAGTTCATCCCAATATTTCAAGGAGAAGACACTGTCATCCTCGGGGTAAGTTTTTTCCCCCCACCTTCCTTTCATTCTGCCACATCTCCGTGCACTTGATGAACGCTAGGGGTTACACTTATCATCTTACTCACACATCTGATAGGCAAGCGGCCAGACTGAAGACTGGAAGCTTAGAGGCTTCTGACAGGGATCAAACTAAGTATAGCCTCTGTCAATAATATCGATACTGCGATTAGCCTGCAGCATTAACCAAGTGTGTGATGCTGCTGTTAGTGGGAAACAAGGCTTTCCAAAATCTGTCATTAGCCTAAGCCCAAGATCAAAATGATGAAGAGCCATTCCCCAGCATCACCTTTCTTCAGGATTACTAAACTCCACAAAGCAGAGAGCTTTGCCAGCCTTGTGATTAAAACCATTTTCAGAAAGGCCTCTGAATCTTGACCCCACCTTTGTAATTCATTATTTGCTCCTTCTCCTGTATTGATCTGCTGACATTTGGTGTGTTTCCCCTCTCAGAAAAATTATGCAGTACTGATTGATCTCCTTGTTTATGCATCTTGTAGTCAGCTGTTAAGAGCACTGTTGAATGATCAGGTGGTGCAACCCTAATGAGAGCCTTAATTATGATCTGGGGTTGATTCTGTTCAGTGAATGGATTTTGTTTCAAGACAAACTTAATAGAAGCTGATGATTACTGTCATGGCTTTGGAGTAGCAATATAATGAACCAAAGCATAAAATATTTATTTGACTTATGGATTTGTATGTAAGGGTGTGTTTACTATTGCGACTGGGATCCCTCCACCACTGACAGCTTTGCACAATCGCTGGCATGCACGAGGAAAATTAGAGTCTTCTAAATGCGATTGGTCTTTTTGTGTAGAGCACATCTGGACCGAGGCTATCATGCACAAACATACACACACATAGATGCATAAATGCACGCCTATAATTAAATATGGACACAGACATTCATTTTTCACTCCTAACACCCACATTCTAGTGGAGCACACTCTCCACCAGAATGCACACGTGAACAGACACACAGAGATGGAGAGAGTGAAATCCACACCCATTTGGCCTGAAGGTTGACTTTAAGTGCCAGAAAATCCCTGTCTGCCCACTCTGTTGCCACACACACACAAATAAATATACACACGGATTAAAATGCAAGACATCTTTATTAGGGTTGACATCCTGGCACGTCTTTCTTGCGGGAATGTCTTTCTTTCTGGGTTGCAGCAACAGGACATCTCGAGAAGAACGAATGCTTGTTATCACATAATTTTGATGCTGTTTGATGATGGCAGGTTGGCATTATAGCAGCTTGAAATCATATAATTCAAGCATCAGACTTGACAACTGTATTTAAATTAAGGCTGGGCGATACGGCTTAAAATCCATATCACGATATAATTTGAAGCACGTGCGGTAACGATATATATCACGATATATTCTTTTCTTC